TTAGTGTCAAAAATGTTGGCGTGTAGGACATCCTGTCAAACACTATGGTTCAACAGCTTGATACCCTCGATTTGCCAAGCTGGACATAAATGATTGAACTGCTGTGCACAGTTATGCACATGTGCCAATTGTGGCGGCTCCCATAATATATTTTGTAGGGGCTGTCACACCTACAAGTTTGAGTCTGAAGAGGCAACTCTCATATTCAGGCTTGGCCTCACTCTACATGTAGCCAGACAGGAAGCATATCAATGAGGTTTTTCTCTTACTCCTTGACTCAATAATGTTGTTCACTCTGCCTTTCCCTTCCCTCCCAGGATGTACCTATACCCTCCCATATACCTATTCCTCCTCCATCTTACATTCTCACTTCTGCCCACTTTTACTCAGTCAATTGTTTTGCCATTCTAAATCCAGACACTCAATCTGCAGCCTTAACATCTCCCCCTCTCCCTCCTCGCACTACCCACAGCAGAGTCTAATCATTCCACAACTTCTCCTACCACACATTCACCTCCACCTACCTCTGCCTCTACTCCTCAGGCACCAGTCTCCTCTTCCCCCTCTCATAAGAAAACCTTTGTTTGTCAAAACATCCCAACCAACACCATTGCACAAACTGACACAGAAACCCCTCATCCACCCTCCAGTTTCACAACCCCCGCTCTTCCACACTCAAAGTGACTGCCAACATCCATCCTCCTACTCATATTTCCCCTACACCCTTCCTCTTACTCCCAACACAACCCATCCCCCAGCATCACATGCATTAACCCGCCATCCATCCCCACTATCCTTCCCACTCCCTCCTGGATAAACACATGAATCAGTTATGTCACAGCAGTTCCTGCAGGCATGCAAAAAGTCTAAAAATAAGATTATTTTATTTTTAAATTCTTTTATTTTTTTGCGCTAAAAGTTTACGAGGGAAGACACAAGAGATATAGCAAACAATGGTATTACCAAGCCTTTTTTGAAGTGTTGATATGCTACTTTCTACCAACTTTGACACTCATCTGCAAGGGTGATATTAAGTTGTATGTACCCCAGGTGTATTCACACGCAGGCTACAGAAAACAGATGGGCTCAGTGTTTATTATAAGAATAATACTTCCCAATTTAACGTAAGAACTCCCTCTTACAAGTTTCACTCTGTAAGTATTATTTCAATTGGTTATTATAAACACAAGAAATACTTTATACATTAACAAGTTACTTATACAGATGCATTCATGGTCTCCTGGTGATCTTAATGTCTCCCCTTGGAGGATACGAAATGGTCGGTACTGAACTGTGGCTCAAGTGCCACACAAGCGCCCTAGCCTCTCTTGACCCTACTGACCCAGCAATAGAGCATAGTGGCACCCTTGTTTACAAGGCCTGTAGATTATCACCCGTGTGTTTCCTGAGGCACAGTGTCTATAGTGCCTTGTAAAACACTAAAGGCTTATGGTGTTGATCCATAAGATCAACATCATACTGTAACTTCAATGGAAAGTGGAGTTCCCCTGAACTACCATTCCATCTACCATAAAACCATTGGACCATTTCCACGATTACCTATAAAATATCATTACAAGACTACTACCTGGCTGTTGACAATGCTGTTTGGGTCCCTGTACAGGCAGGGCAATTATAGAGGAATCCCGGAATGGGCCTTCGTAAAACAAAGATTTGTGGTTGTGAAAAAGATTCTCTCACTGAGGTTACACGAGATATTCAATGTTATTTAGTGGTGATTTACGTGTTTTATTTAAGTTCTTTTGTTTTTATTTTTCAAAATGATTTTTGTACTTAAAGTTCGTGTTTCATTTTAGTGTTTATATGTTCGTGATCTTAATGTTTTGTTTCACACTTTTATCTCTATTTTGATAAATGAAAAGTACGAAAAAACATGTTAATTATATTTCCTTGCAGTATTGTTGTGAAATGGATGAAACTGTAAGACAAAACGAAATGCAGGTCAAGCATGTGGCGTAATCTCTTTTACCAGCCCAGCGGCTGTTGTGGGGGGGTCCCTGTCTCAGACATTGTGTGTGCTCACAACTCTGTAAGTAATCTATAAGGGTGGCATTCGGCCCGTCAATTGTTTGTATGATCTGCTATGCGCTATGGCAACCTAGTCTGATTCTGTGAAGAATGATTTCAGTACCTCTACTGATGGTTTCAGAGAATGCCAGTGGTTCATAGCCTGTGGCATATGATACCATGGGCCGAGGGGGATCTAGTTTCCTCTCTGTGAAGATGCAGGAGGAAGGCAAGAGCTGTGGCATTACACTTGTGCTAAAAGATTTTTCGGCTTGGCTGTATGATCATGTGATTTGGGTGCATACCCCAGCCAATGTCAGCTAGTCTGTCAGCAAGCTCGTTCCCTCAGATGATTATGCTGGAGACCCAGTTTATGATTATTCTTCTACCCTGAGCAAGAATAGTGGTCAGGAGGTAGATGTTGTCTTGTGTAAGCAGTGCTATAGGCAGTCAGTGGCTGCCCTGGAGTCTGTATGTATGATCACGTGTCCCATGATCGCAACTGCCTCTGCCTGTAGTGAGGAGGTTATTAATGGATTATTTTAAGTTATCTGCCGCGTCAACAGCTAATGTTGCACATCTTTTCACTACATGTGCAACCGTTAATGACTCTTGGCATCTCTCATGGCGAGTTAATCTTGTGTGCCGATTCTTAGTCTTGTTATCTCTAATCTCTCGTAGTTTGTTTCTAGAAGTATGCCTCCATTGTTCCCTCCATTTATCGGGAAGACAACTCCTGATGCTGGGTTTCAAGTCAATGTGTGGGAGAGGAAAACAAGCAGGGATGAGCAGAGCTTCCTTGGTCTTCCGATCAGCTCGCTCATTCCCACTGATACTAACATGCGCTGGCACCCAGTTATCTTTGTGCTAACATCAGTGCAAGCCAATCTTGAACCTCCCTCACTACTGGGTGTGATGAGTTTCATCATCATCATCATTGGGGGACTAACGCCGGTAGGGGCGCATAGCCGCGTCCACCCCTTCGCTTCCACCTGCGAGGGTCTCTCATGGCGAGCCGCCAGGCAGGGGCCCGGCCCATCTCTAGTTCCTCACGTCAGGTTTGATCGATCTTCCAAAGCCACGACCTTCTCGGTCGTTCCACAGGCCTCCTCCACCTAGGGTTGTCACGGACAGAGACTTGATGGGCAGGATCATCCTGCGGGAATCGAGCCAAGTGGCCATATAGCTGACGTGCGATCACGGATTGTGCAAGTAACAGGTCCTGTGCCGGTCTCACGGTGTAGCTGTTGGTTGGACACATGGTCCCGTCAACTGTACCCCATGATCCGGCGCAAGGATCTGTTACAAAAGGCATCGAGACGAGATTCCAAAGCACAAGATTTCATGACCTGTGCCAGGCCAATCCGTCTACTGACTTCCTGGTCTGACAGCCCAGAGTCATGAACTGCACTACCGAGGTATATAAAACTCCTTGTGACTTCGATGTTTTCACCGCAAGCACGTACCGACTGCACAGGGTCTCCTAGTAGGCCCCAAAATCCTGGATCTTGGTCTTGGTCCAGGAGACCTCTAGCCCCAGGGGCTTCGCTTCATTGCTAAATGCATCAAGAGCCGCCACTAGGGTTTCCAGAGATTCAGAAAGAATGGCAACATCATCAGCAAAGTCAAGGTCTGTAACCTTGATATTGCCCAGAGTTGCTCCACAGTGACTTTGGACAGTAGCTCTACCCAGTATCCAATCCATGCAAGTGTTGAAAGTGTTGGTGCAAGAACACAGCCTTGCCTCACGCCTGAACTAACAGGAAAGAAGCTCGACAGGCCCCCACCACACTTTACAGCACTTTCAGTGCCTGTATACAGGTTTGCTATTAGCCCAACAATCCTTGTTGGAATTCCTCTCAGTCTCAGGATCTCCCAGAGTGATTCGCGATGCACCGTATCAAACGCCTTCTTGAGGTCGATGTAGGCTGCGAGCAGCCCACGTCCGAACTCACGACGGCGCTCTACAATGACTCGAAGCGCCAGGATGCGGTCTATTGTGGACTTACCAGGAGTGAACCCAGATTGCTCCGGTCTTTGGTGCCTCAGGAGGTGGTCTCTGATACGTCTCAGTAAGATGTGGGCGAGTACCTTGCCTGGTACACTGAGCAGTGTAATGCCTCGGTGATTGCTGCAGTCCCACCGATCCCCTTTCCCTTCCAGAGAGGGATGACCACACCCCTCAGCAGGTCAGGGGGAATGGTACCGGTCTGCCAGAATGGCAGACAGGACTGCATGCAAGCCCCTTGCCATAGGTTCTCCACCAGCCTTTAACAATTCAGCTGGGATGCCACAAGACACCTGCTGCTTTACCACTCTTCAGCTTTGAGATCGCCCCTTGACTTCAGTCAGGGAGGGTGGATCCTCGCTGATGGGTGGGTCTGGCAGAGGAAGTCTCAACATTACCAGCATCCAAGTTAACTGCTGGTGGATCAACCTGATACAACTGCTCAAAATACTCAGCCCAACTGCACACGCACCCCATCAGGATCTGAGATTACCTGGCCCACTTGCTGAGCGGACTGCCGTTGTCTGTGAGGAGGGCTTGGAGTTCAGCTTTCTCAGAGCTTGGTAGCAGGACGAAGGTCATTTACTAGAAATGGCTTTCGACCTCCTCTGCAAGATTACTGATAAACTGTTCCTTATCCCTTCTCAACATATGACCTAGTCCTGCGCGCCAGAGAATGGTGCACCAGGTTATCTTTGTGCTGACATCAGTGCAAGCCAATCTTGAACCTCCCTCACTACTGAGTGTGATGAGTTTAAGCCCTTGATTGCTTGCAAGGCACTACGAGAGTCACAATATATTAACAATAGAATGGTTTGTAAGACCCTAGTCATCTTGACTGCTGCATGGATGGCATGTAACTCTACAGTGAAGATCGAGGCTGATAGAGAAAGACTGCCAAATGCAGTCTTCCTTCTGTTCACTGCTGCAAAGCCCACACCATTTTCAGATTTCGAACTGTCTGTATATATTGCATCTGGTCCTTGATATTTATAAGTGTGTTGAAGAAATCTCTCTTTGACTTAATTCTGATGAAATCCAGATCGACTTGATTGGTCCAAGGGGTATCGGGAGTTCCAACAGCTAGAACCCTGTGAGATTTAAATTAATATCTTCCACAAGATTCCTCATTCGACTACCATAAGGATCGGCTATCCTCAAGGGGGTTGAAAACCAACCTGGATGTAAGAGATCCCAGAATCCTTTGAAGTCTCGTGTAGTAAATGAGGTTCACGTAGTCCAGTGTAATGAATGAGGTGGTTCTCCACTCTCAGCATACAGGGACTCCACAGGTGAAGACCTGAAAGCCCCTATACAGATTTGAGGAACAATATCCGGGACCGTGTGAGTTGCAGATAGATAAGCTTCACATCCATAGTCAAGTTTACTACGAATAAGCGCTCGGTAAAGCCGCAGAAGCGTTGTGCGGTCTGCACCCCAAGATAGGCGTGAAAGAACCCGCAAAATACTAAGCTCTTTTGTAGTTTTCATCTTTAACTATTTGATGTGAGGCACCCACGTAAACTTTGAGTCAAAAATTAGACCCAAGTACTTTACCTCTTCGGCAAAATGCAGTGGATTTGCTCCTAAATAGAGGGAAAGATAGAACTTTCCTCGTTTGTGGAAAAGCATAGCCATGATCTTGCTTGGAGAAAAACTTTGTAATGAAGGTAGGTAATGCTCCTCTAACCATGTCCACAGCTTCATGAGTATTGACATGCTTCCAGTAGTAATCATAAGCCTTTTCAAGTCAAAGAAGACATGTGACATCGTTGTGCAAGGAATTCTGAATCGCAGTTTCCATCCCACAAGTCTTTGTGGGGGTCTCATTTTCTAAACCCATATTAATACGGAGTCAGCGCATTTCTCCATCGCTTGCATAGCAACTGGTGAGAGTATTATTTTGTAATTCCTGGTGTGGAAGCATCTTTGCCAGGTTTAAGGACTGAAATAATTTATAGCCCTCTTTCCCATTGGATGCACTGTGCACTCCCTGAGTCCATCTTAAACAAACAGGACAAATTGTAAGTTTCTGCTGTAGTCGTATTGAAGAACGACATTTGGTGTCATTCTGTTCAGTTGGTGACGTATTATGTTGCTCTTTCCACTGATCTTACACACAATGTCCCATACCCATGCTAGGGGGGTCCCAGAGTTAAACAAGGAGACATACTGCTTCCACTATGTTCAT